GGTGCCCCGCTGCGTGAGGGCAGCTGGCCTTTGCAGGCCCCGCGTGTGTTGCCAGGGAGGGGTGGCCCCCGGGGTGCCCCTCTGATCGCTGCCTCAGTCCCCTTGTCCTGTGGGAGCGGATTCCGGCGGGGAGTGCTCCCCCGCCACGGCTGCCTGAGGGCCTGATTCACCCCGTGAAGAGCCAAGTTAGTGCTGTGCTGTGTCGAGTGTAAAACCCAGGTGCAAATTTCCCTTCTGGTTTCTTGTTAGCAAGAGCCGGAGGCGCAGCCAGAGCTCAGCTTCAGAGGGAAAGGAAGTGGTAAGTGATCCAGTCCTGCAGCAGGGAATGTGGAGTTGTTGGCTGGGGTGGTGTGCTACCCTGTTAGCAAAGGGAGAAGGGCTGAGGAGGGGCTGGGGATGGACTTGTAACCTCTACTGGCCCAGGATTCTCACTTCAGGCCGGTTGGGGTTTACGTGGTCCTTTCCTCTTTCCGTTTTCCAGGAACAGCAGCCCAGTTGGACAGACGACTTACCATCCTGCCATCTCTCTGGGGTGGGCTCAGCTCCAAACCGTTCCTACAGTGCAGATGGCAAGGGGACAGAGGGTCACCCCTTGGAAGATAATTGGTTAAAATTCAGGTAAGTGGGTTGCACGTGGGATACAGGTTCCTGCAGGCACCAGGGCAGGTAGAAGTGGTGTTTAGTTTGTCACACAAGACTCAGGGGAAGAGGGTGGGGCCCGAGCCTACAGAAGGTGTCTGGAGGAACTTGTTACATCTCTCTCTCTCACAGACCTCTCTGCTTCTGCCTTCTGACAGGAGTGAGAACAACTGCTACCTCTATGGTGTCTTCAATGGCTATGATGGCAACCGGGTCACCAACTTTGTGGGTCAGAGGCTCTCTGCGGAATTGCTGCTGGGCCAGCTTCATGCAGATCACAGCGACGCTGATGTGCGTCGCGTTCTGCTGCAGGTAAAGAAGCTGCGGCTGGGAACGGCTCCTGCTTCTCGCGCTCCCCACCTCCTCTTTTTGTCACCAGGAGAGCAGCATCTGGTTTCTGTAGGGGTTGGAAACATCTGCCAGTGGCTGCAGTTGCACTCATCCGGAGCAGCTCTAGTGCTTTGTTTCACTCCCGCCTTATCCCCATCTGTCCCCCAGCTCTGGCAGCAGAGTGCCGAGCGCTCTCCAGGAAGCTGCAGCTCATCCTCACTGGACACGTAGGAACAAGTCAGCCTCTGGAGGAGATGAGTGAAAGGGGGAAGCTAATGAGTAGGGAGATGGATTTGTGAGTGTGCTTTCTTGAGTGGCAGGCAACTTCTTACCATCACACACAAAAGCACATAGGTCTCTGACGTTGCTGTGAATGTAATTTTTATGGTTTTGTCTCCCGTTTTGAGTTGTTGCAGATTGTTTTTACGAGCTGTTAATTAGTTGCACTGAAATAATCATGATGTAGTGATCCTTGAATGTCTGTACGTACGGTGATCATCCGCCCTTATGAGCCAGCCTTAGGGAGGTGAGGGTGGGTAGCCTCAAAGGTCTGTAGGCATTGGATAAGAGCTTAGTTTCTCTTTATGGCCTTTTTTAGGCTTTTGATGTGGTGGAAAGAAGTTTCCTGGAGTCCATCGATGATGCCTTGGCAGAGAAGGCCAGCCTGCAGTCCCAGCTACCAGAGGTAAACGTAGCCTTAAGAACAGAGACTGCTGGAGGTCCCGCCTTCCAGATGGCTGGATGAAGCTTGGGTGTATTAGTTACCCTGGCCCAGGGAGGCTGTAATGGAAAATTATTTCTCTCTGGCTCTTTTCTCGGAGCCTGTGCGAAGTGAAGCAAGCATCTTGGTCCCTTTCCCAGAGTTCCTACCCTCCATACTGGCACTACTTAGACCCATCACAGCTTATCTTAGTAAGGAACTGAACATACCATGGAGAGAGATTTCAACCTCTACATGTGGCTCTTCCAGGTCAAAGCTATGGGGTGCAGGTGAGAGGCAAGGCCTCAAGTTTGCATGGCTTCTGGGCAGACAAGGATTTGGTTCTTTAGGTGAACTGGACTGTTGTCTCCAGAACCTTATCAGAGCCATGTCATTTGTTGGGGTTAAACAAATAAGTTTATGTCCTGCACCGTCTTGGCATGAGGCTAAGACGTGCCAAGACGAGTCCCCTCCCTACAGAGCTCTGATTCCAGCTGTGGTTTCTGTGTTGCGGACTGTGTGTGTAAGCTTTCCCCTTGTTTTGGGTTCCAGGGTGTCCCTCACCACCAGCTGCCTCCTCAGTACCAGAAGATTGTGGAGAGGTTGAAGGTTGTAGAGCAGGAGATCTCTGGAGGAGCCATGGCTATCGTAGCTGTTGTTCTCAACAACAAGCTCTATATTGCCAATGTGGGTGAGTTGTTTTTTGTCAGCAGCTCGGTCTAGGCCTTTCCGAGGATGGCTGCGGTTCTAGGAAATGAAAGAAATTTGAATGTGGGGGACAGTTTCTTGGGTCTCTGGCCAGGGAGTGGTATGTTTGTTATTTACAGGAGCACTTGAAATCAGCCTGGTCTGTGCAGGTGTTGGCTGATGCAATGTGTCTGACCAAAGAGCAGAGGGAAAATGGGTTGAGAGGCCATTGCTCAGGGTCACTGGGAGATGGAGAGCTTGCTTGTGAGGTACCGGCTCAGGCCCGGGTGAAGAGCTGCCCAGCAGGCCTACGCTGCTGCTAGCAAGGCTACTTTTTGGAGATCATGATGAGACAGTACATGAGCCTTTCTCTTCTTTTCTGTCTTTACTCCCCTCTCCTGTTCCTTTTCCATTTGGATGTGTTCTCCCTCTTAACGGCAGAGCTATCTGGTGCCTCATCTCGCTGCTCCCACTGCAGGTACCAATCGGGCGCTGTTGTGCAAGTCCACGGTGGATGGGCTGCAGGTGACTCAGCTCAACGTGGACCATACCACAGAGAACGAGGATGAACTTTTTCGCTTCTCCCAGCTGGGTGAGTGTTGGGTTTCGTGTTCTTATCTGGGAACATCGCATGTCTCTCTTTATCTGGGGTATCGGGAATGACTCAAACCACTGGAAAACAATATATGACCACAAAAAGCAGCTTACTGTCACCTCAGGTGATGAGTTCAGTGCCGCCTTTTTTTGCATATCGAGCTATTTTGGGGCTACGGAGCGAGTAAGTTCAGCTCGCTGAACCAGCAGAAATCTACCTTTTTTTTTTTTCTTTCCCAAGTTTTGAGAGCTAGTTTTATGTCCAACTGCCAGACTGGCATTGATTTGCCCTCCGGCTGTGCGATTGCTGGAGTCGATAGGAAGGCAGGAGTAGGAGCACGCAGCCGGAGGGTGGACAGCACATGCCTGCTCCTTTGGAGGCAAACCGCAGTTACGCTGGGTTAAGCTCTGCGTGATGCCGCACCCCCGGGATGGCGCGTTTCGGTAGGCCTTTGTACGAGCCACTGCGGAAAGCGGCAGGTGCGCTCCGCGCTCCAGACAGAGCCGGGCCGAGCACTGCTCGCGCATCAGTAACTATTGAACTCTTGATGCTGACATTTTGCTTCAGGCAATTTCCCTTTTGCTATACGGTGTTTGACATGTTTTCTTCCTTGGTCTAGGACTAGCCCAGACCACTTGTGTGATTGCTAGTACCGAATTATTCTGGGATGCTCGCGTTCTGTGCGTTCGTTTAGGCAGCTCTAACTTGGCGTTCTCTCTTAGGCTCGCCTGGTAGAGATATTCTTACCTGGTGAGGCTTGGTGATGTGGTGATTTTCTGCTGCTGGGACTTGGTTTATTCTCTCTTCCATTTCCTCTTTTTCTCGTACTCCCACAGTAAGCAGTTATGAAAATGATGACTGAATACAAGAATCCAGGG